ACTGGCATATCTTGCTCAAATGAAATACTTTGGCTTTGCAAGCCATAAATATAAAAGTGAAGGTAAATCCAAAGCAAACAGGTATCTTAGAAATCACAGCTGCTGCAGAAGTGGGCTGGGCTGAGGGCATGTCAGGAAAGTCAGAAGAGGCCAGCCAGCTGACTTGCATGACTCTGACTAACCATTGTCCCAAGGGCCATAATAAACCAGAGAAGTATATTGTTTTCTTTTTGTTTTGTTTTATTTTGTTGTTTTCTTCTTACGTGAAGACGCTATACTCAACTTGGCTCTCTGAATAATTTGTGTTTCTATTTTACCTCGTCTGGATGGCCTGTGTCATGCCCACAAATACCATTCCCAGTTTGAGAAAAATTTTTACAAACACATTTGTTTTCCATTAAAACAAGAAAGAAATAGAGATGTTTGCCCATTCAGCAAATACCAACTGGGAAGGGTGACTATAGATAAGGTACTACATATTTCCTGAACCAAAAGAAATGGTTTTGACTGTTTTCGCCATAAAGAGACAGTAGAAGTTGGAGGCAAAAGATAAGTTTTTCCCTCTTTGAACACTGCACAATGTATACATGCATTGAAATACTACATAGTACCCATCAATATCTATAATTTCTATATTTTTATGTATCAGTTAAAAATAAATTAAAACAAGAAATTACCAACTGGTTAACTTTATCTACCTATTATTTCACAAACAACAATTCTTGTTTTCTCTATCTTGTTAGGCAACAATTTGTGTTACAATTATTGTTACTGTCAACAGTGACATATTTTCGGAGCTTCTGCTATAGACAAAGTACTTCACTAGGCACTGGACCTGAAAAGAATATGTACTAGCAAATCCCTACCCTTTAAATCAGCATTCCTCAGTCCTGGGGCCGTAGGCCAGCACTGTTCCATGGCCAGCACATTGGGAGGTGAGCAATGGGCAGGTGAGAGCGAAGCTTCCTCTGTATTCCCAGCTGCTCCCCATTGCTCTCATTACCACCTGAGCTCTGCCACTTGTCAGATTAGTGGTCGGGCATTAGATTATCATAGGAGCAGGAACCCTGCCATGAACTGCCAGTGCAAGGCACCTCAGTTGCATGCTTTTTATGAGAATCTAATCTTCAAACCATCTCCTATGCTATCTGTGAAAATATTGTCTTCCACAAAACCAGTCCTTGATGTCAAAAAGGTTGGATGCCACAGCATTAAATAACTCCAAACTGGCTCAACTACAGAATATATGAGCAAAAATCCGTGGAAGAGTATTATGGACTATTTGATAATTGTCCGTATACAAATACAGAAGGATTTCAGAAGATAAAAGATGGTGTCATCAAACAAAACAGTGAATGTTTACAGATTAAAGAAAAAATTATTACAGTAAAAGACATTGCCATCAATCCCTCTCAAAATACTCAGACTACTCCCTCTTGCTTCAAACACACTATCTCATCATTCTTTGCAATGTGCTTTTTACTGTAATAAGTTTTCTTTTTTTAATTTAGACTTTCAGCTTATCTTCTGATCACACCTTGGCTGGCCACTAAGCACTGGCTTACTCAAGGAAGACTTGAGATCAAGCGTGGACCTGTCCAAATGCACATGGGATGTTTTTGTTTGAGATATGGGGTGGTGGTGTATATGAGTTTGGTGTGTGCATACACACTCAGGGTATAAGTATATATTTCAGGAAAAGACCCAGGATCAACCTTGTTATATATACAACACATCCTCAGCTTGATTAGATCACATGGAGGTCGTAGAGGACGTATCAGGATAGGTGAATACTGAGAAATGTTTCAACCTGTATTCTGGAAAAAATACTAATCCTGAGAAAGTTTGAGAGAATAATAATGTCTATGGTCAAAATCTTTGAAAATATGGCAAACTATATCTTCTTAAAGATGAAAAGGCATGTATGAGTTTCTTCACATATTAATTTATATCCTCAAAGAGAGATTTTTTTTCATCCCTCTCACAAATTTTGAAAGCACTAGTTTGGAGTTGGAGGATCAGTTATGAAGAATAGACATTAATCTGCAAGACACCATGTGAAATTGAAGGCTCCTGAGGAGATGGAAAACATGCACCAAATAGTATTTTAGAAAAATTAATCTAGAAAGATTTGAAATATAGAATAAGAAAGGCAAGGAGTGGAACCAAAATATTATTTGGAAAAATTGATATAAACCCATTTTAATATGACTTACAAAAATGTTAGGAGTTTTCTTTAATTGCTTTTTAAAGTTTTTTTTTTGCAGCTGGGGATTACTGTCTTTAAATAAAATATTATCTCACACCTCTTATAAATAAAAATAATATTTCTCTGGTTAATTACAAAGGAGGAGCAGATCTCTGAATAAGAGCAAGAACTGGTCTATGATATATAGATCCAAGAAAAGAACAGAAGACTAATTCAAATTTTATATTTCCCCCAGAGTTAGTTTCATTAATTTGTCTTCCCAGGTACTTCTTAGAAGTTGTCAAATTCATTTCAAAATAAGATTTTTGTAATCTGTTTTCTATATCCTTTTAAATTCTGTAAAATCTGTGGTAATCTCTCCTAGATCTTGATATTGTAATTTTAAAAATGTATAATTGATATTGTGTAACAGGAAGAAAAGGTCTAAAGGAGCAGGGGAAGTGGGAGGGGTAGGGGAAAGGAAAGAAGGGAAAAGAAAAAATAGGAGAAAAGGAAAAAATGGAAACAAAGTCTTTGTAAATATGGAAGGGTGGAGGGGGTGAAGGGAGGGCAGGGGAAGTGGAAAAAAATAAGAACCAAGATCCTCATGTAATGGTACAAGATCCCAGTGATGAATGTAACTGCATTTTATACCTAAAATGTACCAATAAGCTTAATGGAGGGGGAGGGGGGGAGAGTGGAAAACTAAATGGATGAAAAAAATCTAACCACAAAAGGGATATATGAAATATTTTTTCAATTGCATAGTGCTGAATGTTTCATGAACTACAGAGACATAGAGTGACTTAAAAGTTATTAAATAAAGTCTCATGAGGCTAAAAGTAAATCTAGGTCTCAGGCCCAGTGGAGCTACCTAAGATGGCAAACGACCTTTGTGGATATGAGCCTCACTTTTAAATCTTCCTGAAAAGGAGAAAGATATGAGTATCCAGAACTTGGAACTATATTCTGTGACCTAGCTTTGTGACAATGACTAGACTTGCCTAATGATAACCCTTCTAGCAACTTATTCTGTCCCAACTAATAGTCTTCACTATTCCCCTAGATTCACCACAAAAGAGTCCTGAGCCAGTAAAGGTATATTGAGCCATATTATTTCTTTAAAGAGAAATTCCTGTCACTTGTGGATTAAAATTGACTATAATCCACTTTAGATTCAATTTAATTCTTAGAGGGCCAGGGAATTAGCTCAGAGGTTCCGCTGCCTGCCTCAAAAGTGTAAGGACCCTAGTTCGATTCCCCGTCCTAAGAAAAAAAAAGAAGAAAAAAATTCTTAGCGTCCATTCTAAAGCCTCTAATTGTATGGCCTTCCTCAACTTCCTTTATTTTTTGTTTTTCTTTTTCTAGTCACTCCCTTTTTAATAATATGTTAGGTGAATTCTTTTGAAGTTCTTTGCATATTACCATAAGACTCTCAGAAACAAAACAGACATCAACAATCTGACAAGGCAATAAACAAAATGATGTGCGTAGTACTGGCTTAGGCAGTGGGGTTTTTGTTTGTTATTTTCATGGAAATCAAGATTCTGAAGAATGAAAATTCTCAAAATGAAAACTATTTCTTCAATGGATTCTGGTTTGACTCTACATAGAAATAAAGAGTTGGGTTCTTTGCCAACAAAACTTTGCACATAATGCGTCCCTTGAGCAAATATTTAAAACTTCTATAGGGCATTTGTGAGGCAGAAAGAATGACCATGATGGGGATAACTGTGCATGTGGTCTGGTTTAGGCCTTGCCAGGCTTTATTTCTCCTATTTCTACCTAACGGGGCTCTGATTCCTAGACTGAGGTGGAAAGCACACCTTTAAATGTGTGGCCAAATCTTTTGCCATTTAATTTCATTCAGTATTACACTTTTTTATTTTATTCTCACCAGGATCTTCAAATGAAATACCAGATTTTTAAGAAGTAAATTTCTTACCTTTTATATCAATCTAAGTGCCCTTCCCCTGTAGCAATGAATCAAAACCTTTCTAAAGGTATTTGCATATTTTATTTTTCAGCTAAGAGCCACCATATGAGAAATTTAAGTTCAAAATGTTAATAACCTATTTTACTTTGATCAGAAAACCCAAAAATTACAAATATACTCCATTGTGCCTTAATATTGTATAACAGGCTTATTTGTGGTTGGGGGAGAAAACATAAAAAGTATAACTGTAGGTAGAATATTTACAGTGTTTTAGACTAGTTAAGCAAGTAATTAAAAATATTTTGTTTCCATCTGTAGGTAAAGTACTCATTATTTAAAACAATCCATCAATACCAAGAAAAAATATTTGCAACTTATTAAAATTCTTTGTTTATATTAACAGTCGCCTCTTTGGATTTCTCAAAACTTTGAAAATGCAAACATACACATGTGTATGCATCTTAATGTTTCTATTACTTTGTAATTTGCAACAAAATAGTGATAATGCTATACTTGATTTACCTTACACTTTTTCTGAAGTGAAACTTGACTTTATTAAATAAAACAATATTACAATATCATTAGAACAAAATTTTTGGCTTAACAAAAGACTTCAAGACATACCGTGTCAAACTATTTCATACGATGTTCAATCCAACCAAATTCAAGAATACAAAAGAATCTCAACAGTCTCTTAGGTTCCTTAATGAGATTCATCCTGCATCTTGATCTTGAGTTTCTTTAAATCACAGAAAAATATATTCATCAGAGTACCTCTTATTTTTTAGTTAAATACACTCTCTCTCCCTCACCTGAACAACAACAACAACAAAAACAAAAAAAAATACAAACATTAACAAAAGCTTGATCACTTACCATAAATGCCTGTTGAGATGCAGGGAAATGCCTGTGAATAAACCACAGAAATAACAATAAATTCTAAAGGAATGACTCTGCCCGGTATTATCTTGATAGCTATTTTGCTTGATAATGGAAAGCCCTCTTCTTTTTTAAAAAATTTTATTGGTACATTGTAGATATACAATACAATGACATTCATCATTGGAGAGTTGCACCTTTACATAATATATCTTGGTTCTTATTTTTTCCCCATTCCCCTTGCCCTCCCTTCAACCCCTCCACCCCTCCCTATTTACAAAGTCTGTTTCCATTTTTTCCTTTTCTCATATTAATTCCATTCCCTTTTTTCCTTTCCTCAACCCCTCCTACTTCCCCTTCCACTTTGAACTTTTTCTTCCTATTTCACATTATCTATTATGCCTTTTGATCCTTACTTACGCTTTCAGTTTCTCACACCAGAGAAACTATTCAGTATTTATACTTCTGTCCTATGTATTTCACTTATGAGCATTGCCTCGATGTGCATCCATTTAGCTATAAATGTCTTATATAAATTTCTTATATAAAATGTCTTATATAAATTTCTCCTTCTTTATGGCTGAGTAGTACTCCATTTTATTAAAAAAAAAAACATGGCATCTTCTTTATCCAGTCTCCAGTTGATGGGCAATTGGGCTGTTTCTAAGTTTTAGCTATTACAAACTGTGCCACTATGAACATGGGTGCACATATATCTCTGTGGTATGATTCTTAAGTCTTTTGGGAAGATCCCCAGCAGGGGAATAACTGGCTGGGTCAAATGGGACCTCTAATCCTAGTTTTCTGAGGTATCTCCATACTGATTTCAACAGTGGTTGCACATACTCAGAGCTGTGAGTGAAGTAAGAGATTCTCTAACCTAGGAATGTTTGATTAACTTAAAACTTTTCTTTATCTGCAATTATACCAACTTTTAAAACCCAACAGTTAAATTTTTAGAAATCTTGTGAGCCAACTGTTAATTATTATAAAGAAAACTAAATTACATAAAAAACTACAGTGAAATTGATGATATCAAAGCAAAGATAGCCAGCAGTCAGAACTCACACTCTCCAATTCCTTTGCCACATTTTGCTATCACTTATGCTTTTGAGATTATCTCTATTATATGAGTACAGTAGGAATACCATATGATGGTAACTCTTGAACATCTCAGCTCTGACTTATATGCTGTTGCACTGATGTTTTCAAATATGAAAATATCAATTAACATTCAAGACACACATCATGGGACAACTGAAATTGTGGCCTGGCTACAGACAGAAAATTTGGGTAAAGTTTACCAAAAGGATTTAGTGAGACCCAAGTGACTATTGAGAATTTATAATAAAAAGAAGTGTAAAATTTAAGATTAACTTTTATAGCATATACCCCTCCTACCTTTCAGGAGCTGATTGTTAAAACATTTTCTGACACATTATTGCTTATACCATATTTTGCTGAGCAATACATAAAGTATTTGACTGAAAATAATGAACAAGTATAAATGTAGGTTTTACTCTGTTAGGCTAACTATAGAAAGTAATCTAGGTGTGGTAATGTCTTCTGCCAATATGCTGCCATGTAAATTCAATGAAGTTGTTTTAACCTTCCTGATCTTCATATTTTTCAATTTTGAAAACCTATAATATAGAAATTCATTTTGGCAATTAATAATAGATTTTTTAAATTCTGTACTAGAATCTAAAAGGTATAACTGATATCCACCATAATATCTAATATTACTGTTGAGATCAATAATAATAACAAAATTGGTTATTATGTACTCTATTTCCTATAACACTTTATAGAATAGATGGCTATTTTTTCTACTGAAATCATTGAAAGTCATGATTTTACTTTAGAGAAATTAATAACTGACTCTATTAAGCTCAAATATATGTCAGCAAAATGTAACATTTTTTTCTTTCTGCTCCTGAAGAATCTTGTTGGAAAATGTTAATGCTATTTTCTTATTATTAAGAAAATAAGCCAGCACCTGAGTTCGATCCCCGGTACCAAAAAAAAAAAAAGAAAAGAAGCCAGTTTCTAGGACATAGTATGTGTGATTTTTTTAAATTATATGGACCTCATTGTTTGATTCTTCATGTTGCTTTTGTTTTGTTGTTGTTGTTTGCAGTGCTGCTGGAGATCAAACCCAAGGTCTTGCACCTGCTAGGCAAGCACCTTTCTATTGAGCTACTCCAACAGGTTTGTTCCCTCTACTGCCTCCAGTGTTTGTGAGGTGCTAATAAGATCAAAAAATATTCTCAAATGATTCAATTCATCCAAGGACATATAAGCAATAGTATAAAATGAAATCTGAAAACACTGCCATCTCCTTGCAGGTATTCACCTAGACCACCAACAAGTCTTCCTCTCAGGATCAACCACAAGCTCACTATAAGCAACCTATTACTAACAGGAAGGGTTCAAAGTGCAGGAATAGTCTACTGAAAAATATAAATTAGAGAAGATTCAGAGTTATCCCAGTAATTTCTGCCATGTTACTCATGTCCTTCTGTGCCTTTTAAGTGGAATAGAGAGAAGCAAGCTTATAGGTGAAGCCCCAGAGATTCTCTGAGATAAAACTGAACACTGGACTTTAGAGAAAAACAAAGTTTTGCTAACTTTTTTATCAACCCATTCAGATATATGGAAAGAAAAATTTTATCACTACTAATGTAAGGTTTTTCAGCTGGTGCTGAGAATTAAATTGACATAAGACTGAACAATAGGAGAAACGCACACAAATTTATTTAATGAAAGTTTTATGTGTCAGTGGAGCTTTCATAAGACATTGTGGACAGAGTGTAAGTAGTGAAAATATGACAAGACCAAGGGGCATGTGCTGAGTAGTACTCAGGCAGGTATGGAAGTAACTAGGAAGATAAGAGTTGGTTCAGCAAGGATCCTCTGCACAGATTTCTCTTGTCCTTGACTTCCTGTTCTGGCCTACAAGAATGTTTCTTTCCTTCTGGTGTAGAGAGGACATCTTTCACCTGGGAATTTCATCTCCTGCTTCTAAGAATGATGGTCAAAATATCCTGCTCTTTTGTAGGGTCTTTAACTCAGATTAGTACATGTGCTAAAAGGGCATATTTGGCAGTATTGTGTTCTGAACTCCCTCTAAGGGAAAGGAAAGATACCACCATGTTTTCAACAAGCAGGCCCACCTCAAAACTTACCTCTGTGTCCTTCCACCATGTGAAGTGGGCAATTTACTTTTAACTTTTCTTAGTATTAGTTTACCCCATAGTAAAGGGAAACCAAGGGACCAGCCTGAAAAGATTTGCTGGAGAATTAAGAGAGCCAAGTGGTGTAGACCTATAATCCCAGCATTCAGGAGGCTGAGGCAGGAAGACTGCAAGTTCAAGCTCAGCTCGGGCAACTAAATGATTTAGTGAGACCCTGTTTCAAAATAAAAAAGGGCTGGGGATATAGCTCAGTGCAATGTACTGGGTTCAATCCCCAGTACTGGGGGCGAGGTGAGGAATTAGGACCACAGAGCACTGTGACAAGTAATATCTTGACTGATGATGACTTCCAGAGTAGACACAGTGATGTCCACAAGGTAGATTCCCAAAGAGGCCTGTTGCCCTAGAAAAGAGCTTCCTTTATTCAACATATTGATATTTGGATCAAATAATTCTTTGTTCTTAGAAGCTGTTCTGTGGATGTTTAGCAAGATCCCTGGACACAACCCACTATATGCCAGCGGCATTCTTTCAGATGTCACAATCAAAAATATTCACATTACCAAATGTCCCCTAAAGGATAAAAATCACCCCTGGTCAAGGACCACTGCATTAGAATCTAGGGCCTAGAACTGGGAGTACTTTCAGCCACCAGCATTTTCAGAGAGTGCCTCAGCTCCAAAGAGCCACCCCACTCAGGGTCAAGCCTCTTTCCAGGACAGCCCACACTGACAGGTGACCAATGAAGCATACAAAGTCCTGGCTATTGGGGGTCACTCAGTGCAGTGATGAAGGGCCCTTCTAGCCCCAGGAATCACATGGGAACAGCAAGGCTGTCACTGGTATGCCCACCCTCTCCCTCAGCCCACTGCTATTCCCTGCCTCTCTTCCACATGGACTGTTCCTGAGAGCATTTCTTAATAGACATTAAGCACCCTGAACTCTGGGGAACTGATCTGAGCCAACTACCTTCCACTTCCCCCTTAGGTCCAGCTCCAAAAGCTGTTCTCCCACCAGAGGTAGCAGCAGAAGGAAGAAGGTAACGAGCAGTTAATGGTAACTTTCATTTGCCTCAGCTCCCAGTTCTATCTTAGAATCAATCATGCAAGTTAATAATTGAATCTGGAAGTATCAACTCCCTTGTATGTTTTAACAAGGACAAATAGCTTCATTTGAAAATGACATTGTTGCCTTAAATGTGAAGGCAAGCGGTAATGTAATAGAGGATGACTTGGGTAATGTTGTTGTGTTAACTCAAACAAAAAGGCAATGAATGATAAAGCAGAGATGGAAATACAATATTGAGGAAAATTCATTTTACATGAAATAACTTTGCCTATAATTCATCTAAACTAAATATCCTCCATTAATCACTTTTTTTTTTACCTAAAAGAGAGAAATACAAGGGAGAGAGGGGGAAGGAGTAAAGCAGGCAGGGAGAAAGGCAAAGAGAGAGAGAGCTCCACTAAGGGATTGTGCAGCACATAGTCTGTGTTCTTTGCTACGATAAATTTCTTGTGGGGCCACCAAAGGTGAATAGCATAGGATATCTTTGTTTCAAAGTTGTATTTAACATAACCACCTGCCTTAGAAATCCTCTCATAGAGGAATGACAGATAGTACCAAAACCCAGACTAATTATCTTGGATTGTTTGAAGTTCACATAACTCAGCAGTCATTTACAGAATTTGGGAAATGACTTCAGCAGCCCAATTTTTAAAAGCTCTACAATCTCCTTCCAGCCAACTGGTAACAGGAAGTCTCTGGGCTAATCAGGTCTGATCATATAGCCATCAGTAATTTGCTTTATAGCACTTGACTTTAGCTAAAT